ATGCTGACCCAATCTATTGGGCTAATTAGGACAACTGAAGTCAGTAACTTTGTTCCTAATCGAGGGGTAATGTTACAGTCACATACACCCCTATTCATTTTCCCTTTTCTTCCTTGTATTACATCACAAGCTGCATGATGCCGCCGCTAGACCTAACTCCAATATTTGTATTACATCACAATCGCCACTGCCATCACTAGATGACTCATTTCCTTATCTCTGACTCAATTCTTATCTCTGACTCATCATTGACTTATGCCTGCCCTAAATCATCTATAGCCATATATATAGTCAATGATGTACTTAGTAGTTCTTTACTTTAATCTTACTAGGTTTTTACCTGAACATTCTCTTGCTTAGGACTTCCAATCCTAAGTCGTCTGAACCAATATTCAAGCCAAAGACACTCTCTTTGTCTTGTCTTACAACCCTTGCATTTGCAAGGTCTTGACTATAACTTCAGCTGTTGCTCTTATCAAGCTGCTGTTGTTATGACCATCCTAGTTCGTAACACTTGCAAGTAGACCTACAGTGGCTCAAAAAACTGTCTGCATGTTTTGACATTTTTCACTATCTATGATATTGTGTGAGAATGAACAAATCACTCAAGGACATGCTTATACCACATTGTAGTATGGCTTCAGGGCTTTCATTTGAGCCCTACACCGTGGGAATCGGTGGAGATATGGTGGAGATACAAGGCTCACAAAATGGTGACTCATGCGGACAGTTTTTTGACTCAAGTATTTTACAATAATAACCAGGTATTCTAGTATTTTGTATGACCTCCCTTGGCTTTAATTACTGCCTCTATCCTTCTAGGCATACTCTCAATTAATTTCTGGCAATCCTCAGCTGTGATCTTCCCCCATTCCACTGCTACTCTCTCCCAAAGCTCCCATACTCCTTTAGGGGGGTTTTCATAGGCTTGAAGCTTTTTCTTGAGTGTTCCCCAGAGATGTTCAATGACATTGACATCAGGAGACTGTGCTGGCCAGTCAAGAACATTGATGTTATGTTCTTCAAACCATTCCTTAGCTCTTCTGGATGTGTGCTTGGGATCATTATCCTGTTGGAAAATGATATCTTCTTCATCAATCCCTGATTCTGCCAAGCTAGGCAGCAAGTGGTCATTTAAAATGTCCACATACTGCTCAGCATTCATCTTCCCCTCAACCTCAGCAAGCATTCCCACACCATTCCATCCCATACAGCCCCATACCATTAAAGAACCTCCTCCAAACTTGACAGTCCCATTAACCTCTCTGTCTATTAGGCCATCTCCCTTCTTTTTCCATACATATACCTTCCCATCTGACCCAATCCTATTGATTTTGGTCTCATCTGACCATATAACATGCTTCCAGTCCTCTACAGTCCAGTGTTGATGAGCTAAGGCAAAGGCTAGTCTTCTCTGCCTATGTTTGATGGAGAGAAGACGCTTTTTCTTCTTTATTACTGCCTTGAGATGAGCTGCCTTGAGAACATTCCTCACAGTTTGTGAAGAGACAGGGGTAGTGATGGTGGAATTGATATAATGGGTGGCTTGGACAGCATTATCAGCCTTTCCTGTAGTGATATGTTGGATAATAGCCCTTTTGTCAGTAGAGGTAAGCTTGGATGGACATCCTCCACAAGAGTTTTCCTTTTCTGGGTGGCTTTCTTTGATAAACTTGGCCACAGTGGACTTGCATACTCCAGTTCTAGAGGAAATTTGACAAGCAGAGAGGCCAGAATAGGAAAGAGAGAGGATATTATCCCTTTGAGCAGGGGGGGTGGCTTTCATAGTGAATATAACCATGACATATGGAAATTTTTGGTTTGTATAGTTAGATATGGTTTTAAAATGACATAATGACACCACTTTATAATTTATTTAATGGTGGCATGATTGTTATGGTGTCATAAATGATGATTTATATAGTTTTAATATGCGCTCAAAAAACTGTCCGCATGAGTCATGATTTTGTAAGCCTTGTATCTCCACCATATCTCCTCTGATTCTCACGATGTGGTGCTCAATCCAAAGCCCTGAAGCAGCACTACAATATGGTATTAGCATGTCACTGAGGTCTTTATGTATTCTCACACAATATTATAAATAGTAAAAAATGCAAAAACATGTGGACAGTTTTTTGAGCCACTGTACCTCGGCTTCTTCCCCTGTCAGCCAGCTTTTGTCTGCTGCATTGGCTTCTGCCTTACTGCGACCCCCTGCAGCAAGCCAGATCAGTGTGCAATATGAGAGCTTCATGAGCTTGCCTGTTGACTGCAGATTGATCTGCCCAAAATCTTTGCATATGGTCCATGCTCCATGACATCGGATCCCCGGTGCTTTAGCGAGTTCTCTGTGGTAGGCATACACTGCTCGAAACATGAGATTGTCATGTGCCTGGTGAGCTTCTCACTGCTTCTGTGTCATAGATTTTGCTCACCTGGCCATGGGAAGGTGAATATATGGTGGGGCAAGTTCACTTGTTGGGTGGTAATGTAGTTCAGTCCTCCCAAATGTTGTATCCTGTGGACCCTGAAAAACCTTCCTTGAGCTGTACCATGTGCTATATCATTCAAATTTCAACAGGAGTATGCTCTCTGTGTAGCCACCATGCTATTAGACTTGATACATGCAATATTTTGATGAAATATGAGTGTTCTGAGTTGAGAACTGGACGGTAAAATTTTGAAACTACCAAATTTGGCACTGTGTAAGTGTCCATTTTGCTGTCTCCAGCATTTTCTCAAATTAAGTTTACTTTAAACTTGACAACAGACAAGGTCTATAGGATATTCATGTATTCCAAATATTTTGAGACATATGTTTTGTGCAGTTGTTGAGTAAACAAGGATGTGTTTCAATGACCTGTGATTAACTGTAACCAATGCGTTTCTCCTTGCTTGCTGTCACTGCTGCTCTGACAGCATTTATGTCTGTCAGTGCCATATGGCCTACACCAGATGTTTTCAGCAGGGGTTGTACTGCTGGTGGTGAAACTTGCAAAGAAGCCTCCCAGTGCTGCTCTGGAACTTGCATGGTTACTGGTCCTGTAAGTTTGCTTTGGATCCACTTGCAGGGTCCAACCTTGTGACTTACCCTCAATTGTGCTTTGTAATAGTCTGGGGAAGGGTTGTGCCTCAAGCTATTTTCAAGTTACTACTGGAGTTGTTACATTGCAAAAGTGAGTCATGTTTCTGCCTTCGTATTGGAGTTGTTCATGACTCAATTCCTAGTGATTTCCTGAGCTGGTCATTATGATCGCTGTTGGGTCAATTCCACCACTGCTTGAGCCATGGGAAGCCTTGAGTAGAGGAATATTTCATACATTCAATATGATATTGACTCAAAAACACAACATGAGTGAGGGAAGTCGTGTCCAGCCAGCTTGATGCCTCTGTGACTCGGACTTCGAGTTGGTAGTAGAGAAGAAAACTGACACATCCGAGTCAACCTATCATAATGCTTGGATCCAGGTTTGAACCCACTCTCGTGCCAGCAGCTAAAAAGCAACACTTGAGCTCAAAAGTTGTCCATAATTAGGGTGCAGACACGCATCTGGGTGCATCTTTCCAAAAGTGTAAGGGTATTGTAAAACACACTAACTTGGGGTGACAAACTAGAAGTAAATTAGTATGCCAGACTCAGTGTGAGAACACATTAGTACGAACTCTTACAAACCATATCAGTTTGTCAATCAAACAGTAGATGGGTTTCCTGAGAGGTCATAAAGAAAGTATTAGATAATGAGACAACACATGCAAAGGTCGTCAAAATTTACAAAATACCCCGGCCTAAACGTTTGTGATCATTAATTGGCAAACCTTCCATTTTCAACATGAACAAACAATTGCAACAAAACTTCAAGCAATTGCAGTCATGTCATGTTCTGGATCAGACCCTTCGGAACTATCTGTCTAATGCTATTGGAATCCAGTCTCAGACCACTGTGAGTCACAGTGAGCTCACGGTGAGGTAAAATGTCCACTATGTATGTAAAATAATATCTAGTCCAAACAGTTTAAATCGTATGACTCGGACCACATCATTTGTTAGCGTTTTCATCTCTGCCGGTCAGAGAGCCGACAAACGATTACCATATCGCTGTCATCCATTTTTCATTCCCAGAATGGTTAGTGAGGCCTCCAGAAGCCATCATCCTACTAGATTCCCCCACAAAACCCCTTACGTAATGGACCCCACACGACTGTGCGTTTCTCCATCCTCGCTGTTGTCGTTGCTTTGTCAGTTCTTGTTACTCTCCGCTAAACGCTTGAAATATTTTAGATGACATGTGCATAGGTTCTGGATTGGGTGTCGTTATCAATAAGGAGGTTGCGCACATCCGTGCCATGGAACATACTATAGTCGGCCCGGCACTGAGCAGTGGTGCAACCCGAGATTTGGAGGGGGATGATGGAGAGATACTACCTAAGTACTAGGAGATTCAGTCATACCGACATTTACAACGCATACACTTGATCAACAGGGGAATGTCATTCACCCGTTCGAGAGGTCCTCGATGACTCATCGATCAGCAGGCTGTAGTCATTACACTAACCTATAGCCAAAAGCTCGTGAATCTCACTCCTGCGCAAGACGAACACAGATTTTAAAGGTAGTTCCACACTGATCAGGAAAACAGTCTCATGTAAATTTACTAGAGGTCAAGTCTTCGTCGACGAACTTGAAGATGTGTATACGAAGTGGCATACATAGCGACGGCGTGAAAGGCAGGCTTGTATTAAACTCGATTATCAGGTCAGGATGTGTTCAGTGTCGTGTATCATTCTCTTACCTTACACAAGCCTGCAGCAACTTGAAGAGTCCTCGGGTATGTGTGGCCATGCATGCACCCTAATCGGACCCGAACAGCCCGTAATCAGAGCATCCAAAAAATACGTAGGCCACACAATTTAAATCTATCCCAACGTCGTCAGTTTCCATTTCTACCTTCAGTTGCGGGGCCGACGAACGGTGTTTATGGTTTGCTCCCAGAAGGTTTAGTGAGGTCCTCAGGACATAAAAGCAGGCTGTCTTCTTGATATCTGAGAGTTATTCGAACTTGAATAGATTTTACATATATTACCTCGTGTAACCAATGCGTTTCTCCTTGCTTGCCGTCATTGCTGCTCTGACAGCATTTATGTCTGTCAGTGCCACACCAGGCGTTTTTAGCAGGGAATGTACTGCCGATGGTGGCTCTTGCCACAAAAGCTCCGAGTGCTGCTCTGACAAGTGCGGATATAACTATGTGAGTTTGCTTTGGATTCACTGGCAGGATCCAACCTCGTGACTCACCCTTTGCGCTTTGTAACAGCGTTGCGGTGGGATGTGCTATCCTAAGGACTCGCAAGATTACGAAGAGTTGGCACGTCGCGAGAGTGAGTCATGTTTCTGCCTTCGTGTTGGAGTTATTCATGGTTCAATTCCTAGTGACTTGCTGAGTTGTTCATTATGATCGTTGTTGGGCCATTTTCACTGCCGCTTGAGCAATGGAAGCCTTGAATAGAGTGGAGGAATATCTCATACACTCAATATGATATTAGCTCGAAAACGCAATATATGAGTAAGCGAAGTCGTCCAGCCAGCTTGATGATTTTGTAACTTGGAGTTGATGGTAAGCGGTCGTAGAGAAGAAAATTGACACATCCAACCGATCATAATGCTTGGATTCAGGTTTAAACCTGCTTGACGTGCAGGGGAGATGACGATGTCTAAGAGAGTTCCAACCTTGGCCTCATTCAAATTCGTCATTTTCAGGAGTACATCTGTTTCCCCGTCGTTCAGATTTCATATTCCAAGAGGAAAGAAGGAATCTAAATACATTCCTACGGTGAAAACCATGAAACGGGTAATATATGAGTTCTTACGTAGCGCCACAGGATCCCGCCAGCAAGCGTGCAATGTCTACCTGCAATTTGGTGAATGACATCGTTTCCCGATGAAGTTGGACATGACTGGGTACAGCTGCAGACATAAGTGTCAGCCCTACTCAATCTGGGTATAAGCAATGTGATATGCCTATGTGCCGCTGGCATTCACAACACATGCGCTTGATTAGCAAGAGAAGATTGCCCTGTCGTGCTGTGAGGTTCTTTGCGTCATCAAACAGCTGGCAATAGTCGTCAAAACACCACACTAACCTGTATCCAATCGCTGCCTGCGCAAGTACTGCCAGCGCGCTCTGGCCCTGGTTGTACGTTTTGAGTTATCTGCACAAAAGTCGGGATCAGGGGACCACGTCCTATTTGCCCAGCAGGGCAAAAAATTTAGAGTTCGCTATTCGAATCGCAGGAAAGCCATTTGAATCCAGTCCGAAGTAATGGCAGATAAGGCAAACTAGCGCTACAATGAAGCACTCCACCGGCGAATGAACCCATTTCTATTCTCATACTCTGACAGAGGGTTTTCCGCATTCAGTTTGCAGACTCTATGCAAGGTGAAGAAATGATGGAGTGCAATTGTGGATTCACTGATACGGCTACAGCGGTGGCATCTTGCGCACGACCTTTCCCTCGTTCTTTGCATGTACCGTGAGCTTCTCCAGTATGGAAGACTTCGCCCACCGTTCAGGTGGTGTGCGACTTTTAGTCGCCCAATAGTATATGTCCCAGTCCGGTTCGTCAAGTAGCTGGAATGAAACCTGAGTTTGGGACGCCACCGATCAAGGAAACAAAAGCACCTTGTCATACTCCTTCAATTCTGTCTCATCCATTTGCCCCAGGTGATCCCTTGCGAACGTACTTAGCAGAAGGTCGCTCTCCAAAGTTCCGCGCTTCCTGCTCTGATAGATGAGTCTTGCACGCAAGGTCTCCTTGGATTCCCCCGGGCGTGGAATGGGAGTAGGTGGTGGGATATCAGAAGGTGTCTGAGTGTTGGAGAGGTGTTGTGGGGTATGCGGAAGGGGCCATAGGTCTGCAGACCACCGTGATGTCGTAAAGAGTGTGCGACGTGGACAGCGTATGCCTTCAAGAGCCAATATTCGCGAAGAGAGAAACGTAGACATTTTGAGGAGCTCGGCTAGTGAAATCAAAGGTTGTGTAATAATGGACCCTAGTGGATTGGTTACAAGCTTGGTCTGATGAAAAAATTGTAAACATAAGCAGCGTGCGCCTAACTAATTATAAGGATCCATGCAGTATCGGTCACACCGGTACCATGCTACAACTCCGTCATCTATCCGACTCATGACATTTACTGGCAGGGAAGGATACGAAATGGTTCATGTGTACGATCAAGCACGCCGTACTTCCTCTCCTCGGCGCAAATCACAGGTTTCTTGCTTTTCGTGTTTACGACCGCGGAGAGTATTTACGTTCTTGAAATTTGCACTTCCACTGGTTTTTATCATATGTTACACGATATACTACCTCTATGACCCGCGCGGCCACATCGACCTCGTATTATATCAACGAGAATGGATACAGCGCGAAATACTCCCGCTGTCCCCGCTTGGAGGATGCTTTGAGCCCGAGCGCGTCAGCCCGCTGTATAATGTCAGCGAGGCTGTGTATGGAAAGAAACGCTTTGAGGTTCAGGCGGGAGTAACGATGCGGATGGGTATGGACTGCTACGAGTTTGCAGGAACAGTCAAGTTTGCAGAAGGAGAGTGGACGGAGGAACAACGGTATATCCCACCAGAGGAGCGAGCACAGTTCCACACATATTGGCGCGTCGATCTCGCGCCTCTCGATGAGAGACAAGAGTACATGCTCAAATCATTCTTCGCTACGCAAGACCTTCCCCGCTCTCGTCTAATACTCTGGTCAAACGGTGACCTATCACCCAATCCAATCGTGCAAAAGTATCTCGACCGGTTCCCCGATTCGTTCACACTTCGGGTTGTGGATATACCCGAGTTAGCCAAGGGCACGCCAGTAGAGAATCACCGTTTCCTCACTCTCGAGGACAAGAAGGCATGGGTGGACGGTGACCTTGTCCGGTTACTTGTCATCTGGACATATGGGGGTGCTTGGATAGACATGGACATGCTCCTGACCCGAGATCTCTCTCCATTGCTTGAGCATGAGTTCGTAACGCAATGGGACTGCTACGGTAATTGGACAATCAACCCACTCTCGCCCACGTACTTACAAGATTCTACAGACAAAATTTACCAAGCATTTAATGGTGCTCTTATGCACTTCCGCAAGCACTCGCCTTATCTCTGTGAAGCTTTCCATCTTATGGCACACAGTGCTCCTCCACGTTCTCCAAGCACCGATTGGGGCGCGATTTTATATCTTCGGCTCTGGCGGCGCCTCCTCAGCGAGTCCATCCCCCCCTTCAAAATTCTACCGTTCTGCCTTTCTGATCCTCTGGCGTGTCGTCTCGACAACAGTGTGCCAGACCCGTTTGACCCTGATCGTCGAGACGGGAAGTGGACGGGCAGACCTGGGGAAGGGCTTGAGGAGGGCGGAGCTCTGGACAAAGCACTAGGGAAGATATTTGCTGTGCATTTACATAATCGTTGGGATAGAGCGTTTCCCCAAGGCGGTTGGGTGGATCGGTTGTTGTTGAGGAGGTACGAGGAGGATGTTGAGAGGAAAACAAGAATAGATGGCGAGCTATGATGCATTGATCTGCTGTGAGTATTTTGATCCTGGGCGACAGCAGTAGACGCTAATGACATTTGCCATGGACATGGGCTATAGCACTTATATGATTCAGACTTCTGATGATGCAATGTTTATATATTTTTATTGCAGGACTGGTGTGTGTGGATGATCTCGCCAATCAAACGTATTACATGCATGTGAGCCTCGCAGTGAAATTGTTGCTCGATCAAGTACGCGTATGCAGCCTGAGGATCCATGGAGCATACCAACTCAAATCAATGTCTGAGCTACAGGTGGGCTCGAAACCACACTTATTTGGGCATTATTAATAATCGTGGATTCATCCTCATTATGATCAGGCGGTTACGCCTTGTGCATTGGAATAGGGAATTACTTGGAGGCGAAGCCTAATTCAGAAGCGTCCAGCAGAGTGTCGTGAGGCAGACCACGTCCTTGACACCCGCTGCAGGCACCTGTCTCGTAGGATAAGGGTCTGTTAGCTAAGGCAAGAGGGATGCTAGGTGGCAGGGATGGCAGCGGTTTCGAACCTGCAAAAGTTCTCCTCAGAGGGCTACTGCTACCACAACCGCGCCGACCATCTTGTTCTGTTTGGGAATGATGCTACTGAGCCTATATAACCGCGTTCGACGACCGGCCAGCTGCAAATGGTAACTATGACCCACTTAGTTTTCAGTTGGGGGGGATAGGAAGCTTCAGATCCCAGATCCGGTAGCATCCTAAACCCATTCACCGATGAACCCTAATCGGCCGTTTCTGGACCGACCGGGAATTTTGGCGTCTCCATGCGGAGACGATATCGAAGATTATGTACTGAATACATAATGACTGCTGGACTATATATAATATAAAGGGTTCGTACCAGTCATATTCCTCCGATCACACCCTTGACGATAACAGATGGCTGTTCTTGACATCAACCAAGCTCGTGCTTGTTTTCCGTCCCTAAGATCAGGGCATATTTATGCCGATAACGCAGGGGGGTCACGGACTGCTCAGGCAGTGATCGATCGGGTCGTGGATTATCTGTCCAACACCAACGTACAGCTGGAAGCTGGCTATTCGGCTGTAAACTCTCAGCGCGTTGTTGAGGGCTCCATCGCTGCTGCAGAGTTGTTCAATGCTACATCTCTCGATGAGATTGGGTTTGCATCGAGTTCGACGATGCTATTCGAAAATATAGCTAGAGCACTCGAGAATGATATTCAACCTGGAGACGAATTCATCATCACCTATGAACATGAAGGTGTCTGCCATCGTCTTCTTGTGTCTTTTGTTGAGGAAACTCACTCCTCATCTTAGCCAACAACGGTCCTTGGAAGCGTCTGGCTGCGCGGCGCAATGCCGTGGTCAAATATTGGCATCCCATACCAGTATCTGCAGAAAATCCTTACTCGGTCACATATAGGGTCGAAGAACTTTTGCCACTGGTTTCATCACGCACCAGGCTGGCCGCGATCACCGCGTGCTCCAATATTCTAGGATCTGTGGTTCCTGTGGAAGAAATAGTGAAAGCCCTTCGCCAGCGTGCAAAAGAGCAGGGAGCAATAAAATTCGAAGTGGCTTTGGACTGCGTTGCATACGCATCGCATAGAAAAATGGACGTACAAAGGTGGGATGTCGATTACTGCGTATTTTCTGTGTACAAGGTTTCAAAATCCGCGACTTCGATTTGATGTCTGACACTGACACTGTTTGTAGGTGTTCGGGGCTCATAATGCCACTGCTTACGTGCGGTCAGCGGCTCTGCGGACATCCTTCACGTCCATTGTCCATGATTTCCTAAAGGTGGACGACAAGCCCTATAAGTTTCAACCAGGCGGTCCAGGCCACGAGCTCGTGTATGGTGCATCGGCAATCGTGCCATATCTAAAGTCGTTGACTC